TATATTGTGACAAGGATGAACCGGTAGCGTAATGTGAGTTACCGCACGTTTCAAACTACATCTCGAAAGTCAACAACACAAAATTTTTGACGCATTTGCAGCCACTCGAAAACATACTGGCTATGTTTTACTGTTTTTTTTTTAAAGAATATTTTGTGACAAGGATGAACTAAACTGAACCAGCAGCGTAATGTGAGTTACCGCACGTTTCAAACTGTAGCTCGAAAGTCAACAACACAAAATTTTTGACGCATTTGCAGCCACTCGAAAACATCTGGCGTCCTGCAGAGTGCATTTTGCAGCCTTCCCGGGGCCTTTGCGTGGGTGGCCGTTCGACTTTGCCATGCATTGCTGTCAGTGCTTGAGATAGTGGAAATGAGCTGGCGAGTGGCTCTCGAGATGCGGCTGATGTAACTGTCAGAACCGGGCTGCTTCTGCGGGCGTCACTCGGCCCTAATTGCACACCCGCCCCGCTGATCATGCGATAGGGAGACGCGTAAGAGGAAAATCCACTAGCACAGGAGTCTATCACTTAGTATTTACGGAGTACTAGTACTAGTAGTTGCAGGTACGGCAGTCTATAGATATAGTGCAAAGAATGGTGGAACTACATCAGAAATTCGATCTTAAAGCACCAGTAAATCATGTGTGGAAGTTCACTTTTTTGGTATGTTTACGTGATATTTAAGCACGTCTTTAAATCGCTTTACAACATGCGTAAAGGATCTGTTTTGTCACTTTTTAACATGCTTTGCGTAATATTTAAGCAAATTCTTAAAGCACCAGTAAATCATGTGTGGAGTTTCCATTTTTCGTATGTTTACGTGATATTTAAGCACGTCTTTAAATCGCTTTACAACATGCGTAAAGGATCTGTTTTGTCACTTTTAACTTGCTTTACGTAATATTTAAGCAAATTCTGATTGAAACTAAATCTAAAGCTTTCCTTCCATCGACTATCGCTTCGTCGCATCCTACACTTCATAAAATTCGGAATCTATTGTATAAATCATGCGTAAAGGATCAGTTATTTTTCAGTCGACTGAAAAGACGCAACATTTACGAACACTTTAAGGCATGCATAAATATCGCACTTTATGCAGTGGCAATGACCTTACATACACCCTACCAAGTGCACTTAGTTGATCCAACGTCTGGGCCAAATTTTAGTAGGTCTTCTTCAGCACTGATGTTAAAGATTTTACACGTTCTACGCTAGACTCGGCGTCGCCATCCGGCCATTTTCAATGCGCGAGGAAGACCCGTAAACCTGCACACTTTACAAGATTTGGAAGCTAAAGTAAGATCCTTACTTAACCTCCTTAACTCAGAAAGCTTTTAGACGTCGAAATGTAGTGCAGAGTTGTCCTATTACTCAGGGTACTCTACTTGTCTTTCTTTGACTTGCAAATTAACATCTAGTTGGCGTTTCTTGAATGTATAAACGTTAGACACTTTTCTTGCAAAGTTTAAAGACACTCGATGTAATTTCAGGGTGGCAATACTGAATATACATGGATTTTTAAGTCACTTTCAATGGTCATTTTCTAAATTTATTAAGTTTAATTAATCCTATCACATAGCAAACTGATATCTGTGAGGAAAATTCGGAAATTCGTTGCTTGTTTCCTATCGTAGGCTGGATCTGCCTATTTATGGGTGGTACTCAAAAATAAGGATGACGAAAATGTGCCAAGAAATAGCAGTAAATTTCAATATCAGACAGATTTCAAGCAAACTGATTCTGGATTAATCTATATATCTACATTTTTGATATGATATTAATTCCATATTTGCGTCGTATAACCGGTAAATCACCTTTAGGTACCCTCCAAGCAGAGTTTTAGGCTTAGACTTTAGAAGAATTTATAGGTATTTTTGTTGGGCTCACATAAAAATAAACAGAGTATGATAATAAATTGATTCAATTAATTCCACTGCAGCGAGGGAAAATAAGTAAGGAAATTGAGACGGAAATGTTAATTATTGACGGAAATTGCCCAGATATAGGCAATTTCCTTATGTTAATTGATGCTGTTGAGTATGATTAGTGTTTCCTGGATTCGCAAACTTCCTTGAGGGTAAGTTCCATGTCCTTGGTGCTGATTGGACAATCTATTCCAGAAAGAATGTTCCGTGTCCTTTGTGCTGATTGGACAATCTGTTCTTTAGGAAAAGTTTCCTGTCCTTGGTGATGAATGGACAATACTGTATGTTCTTGAAAGAGGGTTCCGTGTCCTTTATGCTGATTGGACAATCTGTTCTTTAGGAAAAGTTTCCTGTCCTTGGTGCTGATTGGACAATCTGTTATTGAAAGAATGCTCCGTGTCCTTTGATCTGATTGGACAATCTGTTTTGAGGGAAGGTTCCCTGTCCTTGGTGCTGATTGGACAATCTGTTCTTAAAGGAAGGCTCTTATGATTCGAGAAAACAGTAGCCTGTTTCGTATCTGGTTTTATGGTGGCACCAAAAATAAAGAGACTCCTCGAGACGCATTTTTCGGCAAATTTAAATGAATGAAGTATAAAATGATGACAAGAATGTACTGAGAAATAACGATAACAGCATATGTCAATATCAGCCAGATTTCGAATTTCTCATCCGGAATATGTTCCTGTTTTGTTTTGTCGCCCTAAAATTGCATTGAATGCCTTTAATATACAGATAAGTCTTATATATCAAAGTTACGAGCGTCCCTACATATCATGGCATCTCTAATCTTTTATACGGCAACCATAATAGTAGGAAAATAATTGATTTTTTCCATATTCCCAGTATGAGGAGTGAGAATAAGATAGGGCGTACTACACCCATCTTTTTACAACGTTATGCATCAAGCGTAGTTTCTAATGTTGATTCCTAAAAAAGATTACGCTGTTTATTAACACCCCAAGGGACTCATATCTGTTCCTTCATGCTGAGATTTTACAACGATATTATGGTGGAAATACCGGCTGTTTTACAGGCAACTAATTCTGGTGATGACACTGAAATAGGAGGCAGATCCTTTTTATAGTGATGCCATAACTCAGTAGTACGTTAAAGGAACTGGATATTTGCCGTTGTCAACAAAGAAAGAGTCTGTAGGACACAAACCTCCCCATAATACCCATTGGGCCATGTTGATTTGATTATATGGATGACATCCTCTGGGAGCCCCAAAACTGATGCGAGCGTGCGAATAAAAAGAAAGTTTGTCCAAAAAAAGTAGTTGCATTCATCATGAAATCTACGTGGTCATGAAGGTTGAACAAATGACACAAAGTATAGTATGACGCAGTCATTTCTTTACAGTTTCGTCTTTTCGTTTGATTTTGGCATTCTATGACATTGGTATCGTTTTCAGCTATTCTTTTTGCAACTTACTGTATATATTTTCTTATTTTGCAACTGTTTTGTACGATTTACAGTGTGGTTGAAAACTTTTTTTAAACGGCCGAAAATTCATGCGCGCGCGGATGTCATCCATATAACATGGCTAATAGCCTCGGCGTTTTCCAATGCTACAATGTAAACGTTCTATCGGTCAGTGACCTAATATTTTGACTGTGCTTCAAGCTTCTACCGCCTACTTCTGTCGTCTACCCACCCTCTATACCGTGGCTGTATTTCCGGTAGTGCTTGTGTAATGGTGTTTTAATGGTGCAGAAGTGTTTGTGCTTCAATCAATAGCACAACTCAAGAAGCTCTTAGTCTTAATGGATTTCTATGAAAGCTCGTATTTGGTTAGGTCTTGACCTATCAAGGAAAAGATTATCATAACCCTATAGAGGTTTTCGTTTGAGATTTTTCTGTCCTTATTAGTAAGTAGATTTTCCATATCATTAAGTATTACTTATTAATGAATTAATAACTATGTACATGTGTATGGAGGTTTTCTTTATGTGCGTTACTTGTGTGTTAGAGGTTGTTTGACTACAGGAGAGTCACAGGAAGTGAGGGGGGATGGTGTAACCGCAGATTGACAGGAAGGTCAAATTGGAGGTCAAAATGGCCACCGAAGGTTTACGTTCACTCCCAGGCGCACTATAATTGCAGTGTTGACAGGAAATTCAGGGGGACTTTTCCGGATCCAAAAGCCGGGACGTTTGCCTGATAAACGAAAGAAGGGCTGACATTCTGATGTTATTTTTGTATCGTCCCAAAAAAAGTTCCGAAGTGTATTTTTAGTTGTCCAAGCCTGCATTTTAGTGGTCAGTGGACCACCTCTAATTTCGAGCCCTTCGTATTACGCCCGGGGGGGGGGGAGTTATATTGCCATTATTGGCTATAAATATACAGATACAGATACAGTGAAAGACTCGACAATACAAAAAATCTACACAGTTTAGGAATCTTGCTTTATTTTACCATCTTGTTGCTTTCAGTGGTCTATTGTCTTCGATTTACAATCAGCAGGCACGTCCATGAAAAAAAATTAGTTTCTGTATTATAGCCGTAGGATGGATGCCAAAAAAGGTTATTCTGAATTAACCTCTCACAATGACCATCTGGTATCCATTTGCAGTGTTTAAAGTCCAGCCACTGTTAATGAATACTAATTCTATCCCCACTTAACTCTTAAACAAGCTGGCAGAATCTGGCCACTGTTAGAGAATGCTAATTCTATCCTCTTAGTAACCTTGGCTGAGGTACTAGTGGGCTATACACGTCACGCGGACTGCCTCTTCTATGGGTAAGTGGAAAAACCGGTACCGGCCGTATGTGCACATTACGGTACGGTCCTTACCGTGTACCCCATTGTCATCGCAACAATGCCTCTTAGCATCTTGGTAAATTATATTTCATGACTAAAATGACTAGTATATAATTTCCTCATGATATAAACGGCAATGTACTTCTTAACTAGGATAAAAATTGTACAAGGGAGTAGGGCCAAGAGGGTAAGTTTTTTCAGTAGCATTTGTGTGTTTGTTTGTTTGTTTGTTTGTTTGTTTGTTTGTGAACAAAATAACTCGATAAGGTTCGTGTGTCATGCATGTGTTGATATTTAGTAAATGAATACATTGTATGTCTTGACAAGTTTTATTTTAGTGGACATTCATTGTTTTAAACGCTGTGAGCTTGTATATTTACTGATCTGACGACATCATGGTAGCGAATTCGGCGAAATTGATCTACAAGAGAGAAAACAATAGACTTTAATGAATGCAATACAGTACAGTCAAACCTGCCTAAAGCGGCCACCCAGGGGATCGGAACGGTCGCGTTGGACACATGGTCACCTTAAAGAGGTTCGACTCACAACACGAGTGCGGCATAATTATTTCAAGTCAAATACTCTAATATACATATTTTCTATTGCCTCGCATACTTAGAAATACAAAATCAAATCATATACCATTGCTACGAGAGAGCGGAAAATATTTTGTGTTCACTGAAAATAGAAGGGCGAGAAATATTTTGCATTTGCTAGCAAATGTTTTGACCTCTGACCGCTGACCTATTACCTTTCCATCCCCGTCCATGTCGGCCAATCGGACCATGTTCTCCACGTCCTCGTCTGTCAGCTGTTCACCCAGACACGTCATCACATGACGTAACTCCTCCGCACCCAGATAGCCATCGCCATTCTTAGGGACACACAAACAAGACATCACAGATCTCATACCTCGAGCTCCGTCAGATATTTTGACTTTTTATGTTTACCGAAGGAAAACATATTGTTTTTGCTCAGTTTCTTCCTCTTCTTCTTCTCCAAACAGTGACCTATGACCTGACCAATGGCATGATTTGTTGACGTCTGTCACCATGGTGACTGGTGTTGGGTTACATAATGTTGCAATTTCATGGTCTGCTCAGCTCCTGTCACGATATACTATTAGTAGTACATGTATGTGAATGTGTTTGAGGAAGAATTAACAGAGCAGACCATATGTCCCAAGGTAAACATTATGCATTTGCTTTGCAAATGTTACTTCTCTAGTTGTGATTTTTTTTGTTCAATTATTATTTTGAAGTTTGGCAATTTTGTGCAGTGCCTCTTCCTCTCAGCCAGTTGGTAGACGATGTTGACCTCTAATCGACCTCACTTCCTCACAGAGAGACTATTCTGACCACCTATTTGACCTTCTTGTCAGTCTTTGGTTACACCATCCCCCCTCACTTCCTGTGACTTAACTGAATTCAAATTTACAAATGCTCAGGCACGGTTCTTGGTAGTCTACGCATCCAGAACCGTGCCTGGGGCAAACCTTCGTCCTTGGATACGCGGAGATTATCCAGAACCGTGCCTGATCCTAACTTTAACATATTCACGCATAGAATTACATAGGTGTGGTCCTGTATACAATAGTGACCGTGTATGTGAACATAATGTCTAACCTTCCTTACCGTGTCAAATAGCATAAATGCTTCACTGATGACGTCAGAAGCGTCTGTCTCCTCCTTTCTTTTCTGCATCATGGTGAGAAATTCCCGGAAGTCGATCTTTTCGCACATGCGCAGGTCGGCTCTCTCAAGTAGATCCTTGTATGACAAAAAAAATCAAAGATTTCATGCCTCCGTAAAAACTTTTTTGTGTGAATTTCTTGTTTTTTCTTTTTGTTATTGTTAATTACTTTTGTCTATGCGCTTTCCCACTGGCAATTAGACATGCTTATAGCAGGAATTTGAAGTCAACAAATGAAATAAACTTTTCTGGAACCTTTAAACTAGCCGTCGTCAGTACACTTCTCTCCGACGCTTTCCAGTACTTTTCCCAGCCGCTCCACAGTGACAGTACAACAACGACCTCTGCCGATATTACCCAAATTGCAAGTTGTGAGAGCTGAGTGATTCAACGAAACGTACGTATTTACCGTGAGCTCGTCATTAGTACACTTCTCTCCGACGCTTTCCAGTACTTTTCCCAGCCGGTCCACAGTGACAGTACCGGTACTGTCGGTACTGTCCTGGTACACAGAGAATGCCTCCCTGTACTCCGCTATCTGCTCAGCGCTAAGATCAAATATTTCTTCTGCAACACCAAGAAAACAATAATAATAGAAGACCATATACATGTAGAAATCTTTATCTTGCTTGCCTGGTGTATGACAGACGGCCATCGAAACTTCGGGTGTTGTTAAACAAGTGATTGTGAATAAAGATCTTCACCTCTATATTAAATCATTGACTATGAAAAATAAATAAAACGGAATGTACCTAACTTCTCTTCTGACTTCTCACGAGCATTTATCGGCGGCAGGACTTTCTTTGCCGTTTTCCACATTTTCTGTTTACTTCATTTTTTGTTTACTACAATGTACTAACAATGACGTTGGAGGGTTATTTCAACCTACCATGGCATTTCTGTTGTCATAATCCGGTAATTGTTTGTTTTCATTGAGACGTTTTTATTCAGTAATTATATATGATAATAAGAGCCCATTCTAGAGCATTTGTAAATTCCTAATGTTCTGGAACACATAAAAAAATGAGTACCTTTCACAACTGTACAAAAACGACTCCTACCGGTTTGTATACAAACGACATTTATACAAACTCACTCCAATAAACAAAATATTACCAACAGCCTGGTCGCTAACACTGGACTATGTATGCTACATCATGTACATTCGTTTCAAACTCATTTATTCAACAATTGCATTGACACACATAATTGCTGCACGGAAAGTTTCATATTAAACTGGACTAAATGATGAGTTGAACATACCAAATGTTGCTATAGTTAGGAAATGATTTAGACACTAATGCAAATTACACTGTAGGTTGTTTTATACTATTTCTACCTATCGACTTCCATCTAAACTCGAATATACAGCTCGCTTTCCGCAGGGTCGCTCCGTTTGCTTCGTACCAAAGTTCGTCCATTTTTCTCGTCAATTCCAGACAGTCTGGAATGTTGTCCAGCGGAACTTCCCGGCACCTCAGACCGCATTCCTTGGAATGTTGATAGATGTATTGTTTCAGTTTAGTGCGTCTCTCTCTGTGCGCCAACAGGAACAACGAACATGGCTGAAACATGAAGAAAATTATACGTTAACAACAAAACAGAGACGGGGGCGCCACAGACTTTCTGCAACCTATGATCCACTGCTCACGTGTGTTATCTGTGTGACGTCACGGAAGCGGTGAATTGTTCATTCCTTGACAAAGACTGGAATTGTACACTAAAAAAATTCGGTGAGTCCAATTTCTTGTGTTGGAAATTACAGTTTAAACTTGCTGTATAACAAAACATAATATTTACTGACTGCTCTGTTTTTGCGACGCATATAGTGCTAGCCCAATGGTGTACAAATGTATATTTTACGTGTATAGGAACTCTCATAGTTTTAAAGTATTGTACCACGTGCCATATGCATATGTGCCATACACTAGAAATTCTCCCAGTGATTGTAAAAGTTCATTCCTTTTCCAAACTAGACACACACTCTTGTATTAGTAAGGTTAGCCTTAAGCTTATAAAATTGCAGTTATGTACCAGTATGCCATGCTTTTTACCCTGCATAATTGTTGCGCAATTAAGTTATAATTTCATGACCAATACTTGACTAACGGACAGAGTTTAAGTTAGTAAAAATGTACTACTAGTACTAGTATTTAACCACCCGTAAATTTAATGAAAAGAATACGAAAATGATACCGAACCGGAACAGTTAACGAGTGTTTAAACAGTGGGTTTCATGCCGTTCTTTTGAACGCAAATGTTTTTTAGCAGCCAAACATAGTCACTATCATCCTTTATACTTTTTTTGTATACAACAAACGTACAAATTCAGCAGCAGCCATGTAAAGTCACTATGGTCGATCGTACTTTTTGTATACAGCAGCAGCCATACAAATTCAGCAGCAGTCATATAAAGTCGCTGTGGTCGTTCGTACTTTTCTGTGTAGCAGTTTTCCGACAGTCTGGAACAGTGGCTGACAGGCACCTCGTGTGTACAGCAGGTCGGACCCCACAATAAGGTCAAAGGTCCCATACGTGGCCTCAAACTTGTCCAGCCCCTCTCCCCACTTCAGGTGCGCACAGTGTGGCCTGTCTGAGGGACACAGAAGCAAGTGTACGTGGCTTCAGAGACCTCACATGTCCATGAAATATTTACACCTTTTGTATATGTTTTGATGTTGTATGATGTTCTAATATGCCACTACTTCGTGAACTATAAATTATAGAGCATTGGTTTTACTTTGTGGATTTTTTTAAAGCAGATCGTCTAGGTCTGAGCGCCCCTCCCCCAACGTGTTTACTGAAACATCCCTTACAGGACGAGCAGGACGTATGGTAACCTGTTCAATGGAAATGAATTGTCCCTTTCTATGCGGCGGGAGATCAACCATTGTAACATAGGGGGTTCAGTGGATCTCTGATACAATGAATCAACTCTGTTGTATACATTATCCAATAATAAAACAGCGTTATCGGTATCAAAATATCTGTAAAATCAATTCTAAAAGGTGAGGTACAGACAAGAAAAGGTTGCTCTTTTTCAAGCTTGCTCCCTCCCCCAACAATAAAATGTAGCATCCCATACGAAAAATGCAGTCTAACTTGACAACTTCATATTGATATGTTTATATTCAAAATATGTGTGATGGAAAATTTGCTGTAATGAAATGATAATATATGACAAGATTATATGACAAAATGGTTTGATATTTGTTATAAATGTGTACGTCCATGGAATCTGCACAAACCATCGACCGGGGATGTGTCCGATTTTTTTTTTCGTTTTGATCAAGTTATTTAAGATACGCATACGTTTTTGTATGAATTCCGTATAGCTGTTAAACACAACTGACTAATTTGCATAATTAGGTAAATAAAATAGCATCTATTAAAATGAATAAAAGAAAATTCACTGTTCGCATTATACCCGTATAACAAATGGTTCGTCCCATCCTGTGAGCGCCAATCAAGTTCGAGGTTACATCCAAGAATCTTTCATTCAAAATTTTGGCGCCATTGCACCTGCAGACGAGACTGAACCTGGGGCGTCCCGTCAGAACTGAGGTAAGCATTTTCCCATTTTTACGGGGAAATACCACATTATATTCAGGATTCACCTTGTATAGTTTCTGTATATCGTTGCCAAATATCCCCCTTTGATTTTAAGATATTTGTTACACGGTTTCCCCAATACATTCACGATTTGTGATGCACGGTAGGATATACTGTAGGCTGACCTTACGTATGACGAGATTGTCGTACATTTTTCCTGTCACTGTTTCTCCCGTAAACGTTGTGTTTTCCCTCAAGTTTACCTCAGGATTTCCAGGCAAGTTGCTTCGGAATGTAGTTGAGTCACTTTGAGCTTTTTTCATCCGTGAAAAATTGAGAAAATTGTACCACGGCCCTACGTAGTGGGCTGGCGGGGGAAGAGAAGCATGACCCCGTACGCAACTTTAGCACTGCCCGGTGTGGATCCCAATCGTCAAAAGGTCGAGAAAATTGTTTATTTTTCCTCAAGTTTTCCTCCGAACTATCAGAAAAAATGTTCCAACATGTAGTAGAGTCACTTGTAGCTTTTTTTATCCGTGAAAATTTTAGAAAATTGTATCGCGGCCCTACGTAGTATTGAGGAAACTGTCAATCGGTCGTGCGTAGTTGGGCCGGCGGGATAACAGGTGCATGGTCCCGCCTACAACGCATTACTCGATCGGCGCGGATCCCGTGACCCGCTGAAGTTCATAAAACCTAATAAAAACCATTGTTTTGTGAATTTTACTTCACATTCTTGTTAATTTTGACATTTCTTCTTTGATTTTTGACGTGTTTGCTTTTTGGGCTGTCGTCGGCGCCTTCTCGTCTGACGGAGCTGTCAATCATTGTACCTGTGTAGTTGAGATAGTTTTTACGTCAATATTATGACAAGTAGTGAAGTCTTCTCACAAGTTTACCTCAGAATCGCTGGGGAAAATATTCCAGAAACTACTTTTGGCACTGTTGGCTATACTTTTCGAGACGTTTTGAGAAAAATCCGGGTCCATACCGGGTTCATCGACTGCAGCGCTCGGCTCAAACAATCGGAAGGTCCCGCCCAGGTTTTGGCATTGCCCCATACAGGGCCGGCGAAGTAGCGGTAGAATTTGCATAAAAATAATCATGTTCTCTCACATATTCCCCTCACAATCACCTTTAAATATCCTTGGCACCCAGCAGTGTGACGTTTAGATTTATTTTTGGCGAAACTTGTGTTAAAATATGAGGTAATCACTAGTTTTAAAGATTCTGACACCTGTTGCTCACTTCCAGCTCAGCAGCGCCGCCTGGCTGAACAGCAACGAACTGCAGAACCCTCCCAGATGACCAGCAGACATTTATGAACCAGAACTACATGTAAGTAAGCTATTGTCATTTCCCCACATTTTGGAGCAATTTTAAAAACTATTGATATTTATCGTGAAATTTCCTTATCATACAATATCTGCAGCCTTTACACTTCACTTAAGACACGCCCATAACCTCTTACTGTTTAAAGTAATGTTCATGTTACTGTGACAATATGTTATGTTTTTGATGCTGACATTTTTTAATTTCTTTTTTCGGACAGAATAGTTATACCAAAGGAGGGATGTCAATGATTCCTGTCTGCCCTGCTGTTGATGTAGAATAGCTTTCCTGATCCCTGCCAGCAGGTATGGTATTGTGATATTTCCAGCTTTCTTAAAAGTACTTTCTCCATGGCCTCCAGTACAAATGCTGATTCACCTACTTGATCCCATGCACCGACTTTCTGAAACAGGAGGAAAAACAAAAACCATTACATGTCGAAATCCTACTTAATATGCTGCTTCTGTTTTACTCAAGTAATAAAATTTTTGTCAAAAGGCTTTGTCTTTGCAGTATCAATCTGTGATAGGGATAAGCTTTTTGGTGTTTTTGCCTGGATAATCAAGTTTTAACAACTCTCTCTTTCCCTCTCCTTCCTTATAGATCTGCCCCTCTCTCCACTACAGATCTTCCTGTCTACTGATGTCACTTGTTTCCAGGCTACTTGAAGGGAAGCAAGCATCGAGAGGACAGCTAGAACACAAATAGGATTTGTATGATATCCTTGTCTGCTGATAATATAGAAAGGGAGGGGGGATTTGAGCCAAGCTCTACTTTGGCTTTGCTCACTAAACTTGAGATAATGTAGGGAACGTTTTGGAAAATAAAGTGCCTTGTGACAAAGACCTTAAAGAATACCTTTGCATAAAAAGGGGCTAAGGGATAGTATTTCTAGACATGTATGCTATACTAGTAGTCCTCTGGAAGAAGACCTGAATGGA